CCTAATTTACGCTTTCGCGTTTTTTGATTATTATCATAGTCGGGAGCAATCGCAACTTTATCCCCTGGTTCAAATACTAGTTTTCTTCTGTGAACACTTCTGCGAATTACCAATTTATTTCAATAAGCCTCTTCATTTTGTGCAATCTTCTCATGCACACGTTTTACTTGCAGCGCATGAAATTCATACGAAGCCTGGTTATTACTAATGTCTCGGGTAACGACATTAACGTTTTCTAGCATAGTGTTTGGCATGGTGTCTTCTGGCGCAGTATTGGACGTGGTGTCTTCTGGTACAGTATCGGACGTGGTGTCTTCTGACACAGTATCGAGCGTAGTATCTTCTGGCATAGTATCGGGCGTGGTATCTTCTTGCACAGTATCGGGTGCAGTGTCTTCTGGTGTATTATAAACGCCTCTCATCTTGAACCCGAAAAAGGCCTCATAAGGAGACTTATTATAAGAGCGGTGAGGTGCTTTATTATAGGCGATTACAAATTGGGGAAGAACATCAATTCAACGATAACCCTGAACTCCAGAAACTTCATTCCACATCATCTTGGTTAGGTGTCGACCAAGCGTTTGATTAAATCTCTCGATCTTTCCTTGGCTTTGAGGATGCCGGGCGCGACCATGGACAAGCTTTATTTTGAATGCATTACAGGTGTTTTTTAAAACACTGGTTATGAATTTGGATCCATTGTCTGCTTGTAGTTTAGTAGGAGGACCAAAATTCTTAAAGAAATTTACCAATTCATTATGAATTGTACTGCCTTCTTTATCTTTAATGGGAATTGCCCAAACATAACGTGAAAACACATCAATCAACGTTAGAACATAACTATACCCATCGTTATGCTCAACATAGCACAGTAAGTCAACCAAATCGACCTGAAGGTGTTCTAATAGACCACCAGATACAACAGGTGTTAAGTCAGATTTTTCTTTAATGCTTCTATTTCGAATGCAGGTTGGACAGTCGTTCACGTACTTCTTAACTTCATCTTGAGTGATACCGACGTGTCGTTCATAGATCATAGCATACGTCTTATGATAATCAAAATAAGCCCCATCAACATGAAACTTCTCAAGTATAGCTTCTCTCAACTCAAAATCATAGGTTGGGATGACTCTCTTTTTAATAGACAGGAAATTTCTATCTTTTGGCGTTGGTTCAAAAAAAAAATATCCGGTCTGCTCATCATACGCGAAATTTTTGCACCTTCTCTGAAAATTTGATTTTTTAATTGTACTATCGTATTTTTCTGCAAAAATTCCCTGCTTAAGATAATTAACAATATCGTTAAAGTCTTCAGGCGTATTAGGTACTTTCGGAAGCCTAACCATTTCAAAATAGTAATGTAGAAAAGTAGAAAGTCAATGAACTAGAAAATCAATGAATAATTTGAGTACCTAATTTAAAAAAAAGAAAAAGCTAAGCGTCACGAATTATAAATTTTTATACCTACACGGTCTTTTGCGTAAAATGTGGACTGGAGCGTACGAATTTGGACTTGCATATGCAAATCTGGACCAGAGCATACAAATTTGGATGCATATAAAACTTGGTCAGTTTTTTTTGATTTTTCAATTTTTTTTCGATCTTTGATTCATCTTTTTTTTTTTTTCTTTTTTTTTTTCTTTTTTTTTTTTCTTTTTTTTTGATTTTCTTTTTTTTTTTTTTATTTGATAGACCAGCAGCTCCAAATATAAAGCACTACGGCTTTGAAAAAAGAGAAGCTTAAAGATATAATGCTAATAACACTGGTGAGACACGTGAAGAAATAAAATATTAAAATTAGAAAAATAGTATTAGCAACTGACGCGACTTCAAGCAAATAACGTACGGAAAGTAACAATATCCCTTGGCAAGAAGTATCATAGGCTGTCAGTAGCGACGACTTTGGCTGAAAAAGACTATAAACAACAATTTTGAAGGTAAAAAAAATGGACCAACAACCAGCACGACATTAAACGTATAAATGAAACTTACTGGTAACGACGACATTGATAGACAATGACATGCCACTGTTGGGAATGATTTCGACAGGCGAAAATTAAAAACTTCTAAAATAGCCTTGGCAAGTAAGAAATATGATACCAAAATTAATGCGACTTAACAAATAAAATCGTATACTTACTGATAGTAACTTCACTAGATAAAGATGTAACGGCATATTACTGGTAACAATCATGATAAGGGAAACTAACATGTACAACTTTAAGAGTGAGAAATATGACCTAGCATTAACAACTAGTACGATTTTTAACGAGTGAAATAACATACCGGCGGAGATAATCTTGACGGGCGAAAGGTACGATATACAGCTTCGGCGGGTAATTATATGCAAGAGATGCACCAACTAAACGTAAATTAGT